TCAATTTGGAAGTTGACTGACTAATTTTAGCAGGGAGGCAGTGGCGGCTGAACTCAGATCAAAATTCCCTAAGTACCTATTCAAACGAAATCCAGGACTGGAATTGGAGAAATTTCCTGAATTTCTCTCGACTTCATTTACTTACAAAAAAAAAAAAAAAAAAAAAAAAAAAAAAAAAAAAAATGAAAAAAAACAACACACTCAACGAACCAGCATCATTGCTTGACACGGTCTACTTTCCAAAGGATAGAATTCTGTTACCCTTGCTAAAATTCCTTTCCCTACCAGTTTTTATCAAAATTTCCAAACTTCACCAAGCTTTTCAAGTTTTCCATGGCTGTTACCACCCTGTCTAGAATTTATTAGACTATCTAAAAGCTTGAAACCCTGAAAGTTTTCAGTTAAAAATCGTTTGTCATCGGTGGGCTTCCACATGATTTTAAATTTTCTATAGAATGTATGAACCATGATAAGGTCACTTGCCTTCTTCATCTAATAACCTATAATACCCTGAATTGTCTTGTCACCCTGTCGAAAACTTACTAGGAAGTTCCTTCAACATAAAACATGCTTATCAACTTGTTGTGAACAGCGTAAAAGATAGTATTCGTGGGATGGACAAACCTTCTCTGAATTAAAAAAAAAATAATGTCCATTAGATCTGAAAATTTCAATGATTAGCTATTAAGCCATCTTTCGAACTTAACTCTGCTTGAATGGCAAATTGAAGCAGTTATTAATTGTTAGGACTGACCCGCTCGGTGATTTCATTTCCCAATTTTTGTGCTCAGCAGGTTCTCTGGCCTTGGAGGGACCGTTAGAAAAAGAATAAGTTAAAGTAGTTTCAGCTTTGTGAAAAAATATTCTGAGGAATGGTCCTCTGGACCCAGGAGCTGGAATCTTCTTCTGCGATCATGGACTACTCACCCTAACATTGATTTGAATAATTATATATGCTAATATTAGACATCATGATTGCGCCATACCCATGAGCTAAATTTTCTATAAAACCCACCGATCATTGAGCCTGTCTCAAGGAAATTGAATCTACACACAACTTTGTCTACTGATAGTAGGAGAGAGCCTTGAAATTTTATGCTCCGATGGAATTAGAACATTTGAATTCAGAATTCAAATGCTGAATCTCCATTAATAGTGCAGAAGTACAAAAGATTCCGTGAGAGGAAAAACTTGCTGAATCAAATAATCAGCTTTCCCCCTAGGAATGGAGCCTGGGGGGGTGACTTATATATATCCATAGAAGCATCTTGGACCTAAGCAAAACACTCCGTTCTAAAAGTTCATTTTTGGAACAAAACTGACATTTCCGACCTCATAGACCCTTATCAGATGATGGGCCATTACAGAGCATGCTTTGATAACAAATTTGATAATCGGGGCTTACTTAAGGTAAGAAGAAGCTGAAACTTCAGTTTCTAGAACCTCTGAGACCAATCATACAAATTAATGGAAAATAGTTGAGCTTAAAAAGGCATTTACTCAGTGAATTTCCGCCTAGTTGAACATCTTGCTTGAATTTTACAACGATTCCTGCAAAACTATGAAGCTATGCCAACTGTCATTAAGTTTGAGAGAAAAAATTCAACTTAGAGGTTTATGCATTTTCATCAATGCTTGAAACCTTACAAAATTCATACAAACAAAACCAATCCCTGACAATAAATAAATTGAGACGGTAATAATAATACACACATGTGTGAAGGTCTGAGCGACCACAGTCACTCTTTTCATTCATGATAAATAAAGGTGTTCATGGACTAATAAAGTAGCCAAAGATAGCACCGAGGCATTTCTAGTTACTGTACTAGTGCTGCATGCTTTATGCCAATACTCCATAAACTAAGCCGATAGAATGAGAGACGAACATGGCAATAAGAAATTTGGTGAGATTGGTGGCTTCCACTAAGTAAACTTAACACTGTTTTTTATGATACTTTGTTGGAGCTTACTTTGAAACTTTCAACATTCAATAAATCTAGAGCGAAATTTGGCTGGCCACTTATAAAACATCTTTTTGAAAACTGATAATAATACGTTACTGTATAACTTGGAATGGGCTTGTTCAGTGATTTTTAATTTTACCATTTTTCAAAAGATGAAAGTGCACTTAGTCGGCAACAATGCTGGTCTGGCTCGAATATTCATAGGGTGCTGATATGTTTTTGGGGCCCCTCCTTTCAGATGGGGGCCCTCTTCAATAATAACCCAATAAATATGGTGTCAAAAAACATCCCTCTCATGGCAGCAAGATCTTGTTTGAGCGATGCCTCTGGTCCAATCCATAGTCCTTGTAGCTGCTATTAATGAACGGCTGCACAGATTATGAGTCAAGTAGAGGGCAACACACAATCAAGATCGTGCAATGAAAAGGATATTTTTGGATGCTGTCTTGGCTTTCTTAGAGATGCAAGTTTGAGTGGGAGCTTAAGATATGCAACTTCGACTTCGTTTTTGGTGGGTCAATGTTGTAAAAACCTGCAAAAATTCCTGTGAACTAAGAGCATTCTCTAATTTAGCTAAAAATAATAATTACTGAACAAGCTTGTTGAACGTTCCATGTGTATAATCAAGTTGCAATGTTTGCCATTGGAATTGCCTTGGCTTCAGCTTCAGTTTTTAAAAAGAGATTTTGCAGGCAATAGTGCTTGAAAAGCAGTCCCTCAGATTCCTGATCCATTTTCAGTCCACTACAATGACCAAGATAAGAGTCTTGGCGAAATTTACTTTATTCTAGTGCCTTCAAATAGATAAGAGGAGTCTCCTAATTTTTCAAAGGGGAATTGCTAACAATGAGACTAGCCAACTTTGCTAGCTTACTGCTGAGCTAACTTTGAAACTAATATTAAATGTTTAGGATACAGGCATTGAAACTTAAATAAAATATTTTGATAGCTTTACCCTGAACCGGCCGCACAAAATTGCATGCCACAAAATTTCTGCCGATGATACACATTTGTCGACTTTACTTGAGAAACCGAGAATATCCTGTCCAGGATGCGAACACAAAAGGATTGCCCGGCAACACTTAGCAATGTAGAGGAGAGTAAAAACAAGTCAATGAATTTGTTTCTTTGTATTTTAAGATCTTTGCAGGGGGGCGGGGGATTGAAATATTCCCAAATTTGGCACTGCTTCTATTTTAAAACTCCTGACTTAAAACACACACTGCAGCAGAAAAAGCTCTCTGACTAAAAATCGTCCAATCTTTCACCATTTTGATTTTGCAAAAAGGTAAAAATTTAGGTTGACTGAAAATTAACGAAAATTTTGATACACTTTAAGTGCAGAATCTTTTCTGGGAAACTAACTCATTCAAAAGTAAATGGAAAGTTTCACATTTCTCATGAGATTCAGGGAGTTTCCTAATTTTGCAGGGCAACTTTTCACTAATTTCAGTTTGATAAAGCGTCTCTTTTAAAAAATGAAGTTTGAAGAATATGATTTGTAAAACGGGAATTCTTCCTTGAAGTCATTAGATTTTCATGAAAAATCTTGGATTATTGGCGCTCTGAATTTATGCACGAAATCAGCTCACCTTGCAGAATCACCTTGTAAAGACCTGGGCAGGGTGTCTACAAAAACAGGCTGGTCAAAAATAAGTACTTTTACAGTACTTTTACAGTACTTTTTCAGTACATTCTCAAGAAATCCAGTACCTCCTCAAACAGAAAAAATCCATACTTTTTCAGTACCTCCATTTGACGAAATTAGAAAAATTTGAAATTGCAACAAAAATGAAAACAAATTCCGGACCTTTTTGCGGAATTTCTGCACTTTTTCAGTGCTTCTGGACCGCCCTTAAAAAATCAGTACTGCTTCCGGACTTGTATACACTCTGCCAGAGCTTCAAAGCAGTGCCAATTTGAAATGACCTTTCTTTCTCCATCTTCTGCACCCCTGAATTTAATTTAAATTCTTGGTCAGCACATGCTTTGTGCTTTTTTAAGGAATTTAGACCCACTGGCATATTGACCAGTTTCTGCCATACTTAAATTTTTGCCTCATTGTAGAGGTGATGCTAGCAAATATGTTGAGTGGTCTTCACTTAGCACAAAATTGTTGACTCCTTGACCCTGCAAAGATGAAAATTGGCTCTAAGGGCTAGCTATGGGATACCCTATTCGAACAGGGAGAGAATTTTTCCTGCACCCTTGCATTACACTTTGAAACAAATCTCCTCTAGATCTTTAAAGTGGTTGTAAAAGGACAATGCACACACTACCAAGAAATTCGACACCGATTAAATTTCTACTTTATTTGATACGATGTTCCTTAAAACTTCCTGAAAATTTTAAAATCAAAGGTGTCAATATCACAAAAAGCAGGGCTGAAAGTTTAATCATGGACCCTAAGAATTACATACATTTATTAATGGAAATGCGGGATTGATGCTATGTAAGGGTGAATGAATGTTGCGCTAATTAATCTTTAGAGGAATAAGATTTTTTTCGTTGGTCTCATCTTACGACCCTGCCTGCAGAGAAAAAAAAGATATCCTCAATCATGGATCAGATGTTACAACATTCTTACTAGATATTGCTGGTAAGCATACCAAAAAGTTCACTTCTTAGTTCTGCTTTTCTCGAAATAGGCTTGTTGAAAGTTAGATTTTCAAAGCTCATTGTGCTCGGAAGATCGTAAGGCTGATCACATCAGATGGTATCAAAATTTAGGCCATGCCAAATTTCTTAATAATGTGGGAGCGATTATTTCAAGGCATAATTCATAAGATATGGCTTTCTGTCGAAAAAGTGATACATAGTAGGAAATTTTATTATTTGAAATGCAATTGAGCTGATTCCAGTTCAACATTTTACAATGAATTACTAGTATTTCTATTTCATCTTCAGATCCCTTATCGGTACAGGGAAACGATTGGCACATGTGTTGTACCTAAAATGAACCAGAAATAGTTGTCTCTTATTGCAAAATGAAGTAATTTTGGCTGTCCTTTTATGATTAGAAGAGTTTAATCATACCTTGTGTGCTTTGAGAGAATTTTCATTGCAAGCCAGCGTTACATCGACAAAAGCTTCAGTCCTGAGCAGATGATGGAATACAGAGGTCATATTGGATTGGTAGTTGTTCCACCGGAGACAATAATGCTGACTTGCCATATTAGAGTCTGCGGCGGAGGACCAATCCTCCCCACTGAAAAGACAAAAGAATCAAATTAGTTTCTAAATAGATTGCAAAGGAAAAGAAAAAAACATCTCGTTGTCAACTCAAGGCACAATGTATCTCACTTTAGTTATAAAATTTGTTTCTTCTAATGAGAGAATTGAGGAGGCTTGATGTGAGTAAAGAGAGAGAGAAAAAAAAGTACACCTTCCTTCTTATGAAATATTGATGAATAAAAAAAACTGAAAATAAAATACCATTCAGACGTCTCCCATGAATCAGGAATTCTGAAATAATTATCAAATCCAGTAAAATGTCAGTGAATCCCAGCAATACTTTCGTAGGTACATGTCAAACCTTGCGATTTGATTTAAGGAACTTAGAATCTTTCTAAGTACTTGCATTAGTAAAGGAAGAAATGCTTCGCAAGTGATGAAAATAAGTGCGATTATTGATGTGCATTCGCTAGACTTCGAAATTTGTAACGGAAGAAAGATGTACCTGGTTTTTCTGAGGATGTTGATTCCAAATGGGGATGCCATAGAGGCCTTTAACTTAATGTAAGTCTACAGCTTTTGATTATTGAATTGGTCATCTCAACATGAGTTACTAAATTCATTTGATAAGAATTCACATTCCATGAATCAAATCTCTCTCTTCTGAACTAATAACAGTGAAAAGATCAAGGTACCACAGATTTCCTATAGGATTGAACATCCCTCTGCCTTACTTAACAAGGAGTGACCTCCTGCGGTCAAGGATGTCCTTGACGAGACGAGTGAAGCCCCGAAGCAATAGTTGCAAAACTAAGAACGTTTAAGTCACAATGGTTGTGAATTGTTAAGGATAGGATCTGGCATAATGACTTACAGTGGCACATTCCCGAGAAATTCCAAATTTTCCACGCTACAGAATTTTGCTAAACATGTTCAGAAATTATGATAAATTCACTCGAGGAACGCTTTTTTTGCCTGAATTCTCAGATTTTACATGAAGAACTGTCACGTTCTTGAGAGTAGAGGGAATGTCAAATGGAAATGTTCAGTGGAACTGTCAAATTCTTCGAAAAATGTTGTAATAAGCAGAGCCTGAGGGGAGTCTGCGATTTTCTCGTACATCCACCCCTGGTAAATACATTTAAAGCTATCTGGGTTCTGGCCCTTGTGAAGTGGCTACCTTGCTTCGTGAGAGATCAACCTCTTTTCTCGATCGACTAACTTTCCATACAGAGATGGAGCCGAACAAGTAAGCAGATTTACCATGGCCCATTAACAGAATATTACGATCTTGGAACATGGAATTTGCCATCCTGCTAGTATTTTCAGTCATATTTTTTGAGGGCAGAGTTCGACTGATAAAGACAGGACTTTCTTATAAAGCTTTGCTCCTTCATTGAGGCCTTGACTGAGGAAGCTTTTCTTGAGCTTGAAAATTGATCTTAGACAAAACCAGTGGCCAAAGCTAATTTCAAAATCCTTGCTGCCTACGAAGCTCCGTACAATATGCAACACTATAAGTTACTTTGTCATTTCCAGGCAGTATTACAAGGAATATGGAGCGCAGCTTCTGAAAAAATATTAGCATTGGCAAGTCCTCAGTTTATGAGACAAATTTGTCAACGAACTTTAACCATTGCTTTCAACACAGAATAATTAGATTGGCCAGAGGTGGAAAGATGGGGCATCAACATGATTTCATTTGAAAAATTGAACCAAATAAAATGGTCCACACCTCTTTAGTTTACTTTCTTTGTTGTGTCTCTTTACATTCCATTTGCAAGCCACCATGATGCAATTGTTCAATAGACGCTGTTAGTGCCACGTCACAGAAAAGCGATATATATCGATTTTTCAGCATTGGTAGCATTGAAAGAGGTTATGCCGATGTTATTGTTTGGGTCAAATTTGATACTATGGAGAATCATTATGTTGACGTCATCACTATTAGTATCTATAGGGATAGAGGATTGACTAAGCTCACAATGAGGCCACAGTCCATCTTCGATAGTTACTAAACGATTGCACCTAATTGCTTGCAAGCGGTATGTAAACGAGTGGCAACTTAGCTAACAATACCTCTAGAACTGGGAAAAGAAAAGAAGAGACAAAAGTCACATCAGTCCGAATGCATCAATCATCAGTTGGTCAGCATGTAAATATCTGTTGAATGGTGCAATTTTTGGATGTGACATTTGTCTCTTCTTTCCTTTCCCCAGTTCTAATAAGCAGGCACATGATCGAGGATTTTCTGCACCTCTAAAATAAGACTGTTCGATCTAGAATAAGTATTGCACACACCTACTCAAAAAATAGTGTGTTTCCTCCATTAGACCAAATACTGGAGAGTATACTTATTACCGTAGTTTTCTAACTATAAAATATAATGGCCAAAAGGTAACTCACCTATTCTCTATCACATTATCAGACTCATTATAGTAGCCAGACATAGTCGCGGCTTCTGAGGTCAGTGCAGGTTACAGTATTAACTTTTGTTCTTCTCCATCTGTAAAAGAATAAATTTCATAAAAATTAGGTACACAAATATGTAAGTAAATGTAACTGACTCTAATTAGTCTGTCAAAAGTGTGACTTGTAAAAGAATAAAAGAAACCATTGATAAGTTCTCAAATGGAGAGTAAAACAAAACAAGCGCAAGAAATGGAACATTGAGCTCCTGAAAAAGCATTTTCGGTGGTTTGCAGGTCCACACAAAGAAAGTTTTGACACTTTCAAAGGGCAACGAAAAACATGTGTCTTCTCGGTTTACCACTAGGATTAAATAAAACATTCCAGATGTGGGTCTACCGGCTCACTTTAGTGCTTCGACTTATTTGGCATGGGCTGAAGTCAGAAATTAAAACAAGCGATGGATGTACATGATCATGGCGAGGCAACTGTTAGGGCTATGTAGACACAACAATATGAGACCAAGCCCTACCTGTGCCATGCAATAATTCACATTTCCATGTCATGTCAGGCTAAAAGAAAATTTCAATGATCAACCCAGGGGAGAGAACTACTCAAAACTGTATCAACTTCTTGACTTAGTCAAATACCTTTCGATACCTAGTACACAATTCCTGAATAGTTGATCAGTACTTGCTTGACAGGAGTAAATTTTCGGATGACAGACTGCAGCCAGTAAAAACTAAAAAGATAGATAATCTAATGGCATTATTCCTTAGGAAATTTTGATGGAGTAGGCTTCTCGGTGGTCGATAATACTTCATAAAACTCCCTGTCTCAAGAGCAGGATGAGACCACAGGCTGAATTAGTAATGCTAGATAAATTTTTGTCTCTTGCTAAGGTCCCACTAGTCCCTAACGCACATGGAGACCGGTAGACATGAAACGTCACTGTAGACAACTGCTCTTTATATTTAAAACCCAGAGAGGACAAAACTATCCTTAGATCTTGTAGCGCAAAAATGACAAGTGAACACCAGCTTGATGTCAATACATTCCTACATATAAAATTACCTCAACAAAGATTGTGCCGAATGAATCAATTTAATACATTCTGAAGTAATGATGCTAAGTTCTACGAAGGTGGAGAATTTGGGGCCTTAGAATGATAAACTGGTCAGTTTATCTCACTGTCTGTGAACTTACATCTAATTTTTGAGGTTAGGACTGACTAATGAGCTAGTCCAATTGATACTGGGCTCGAATGTAAAATAAATATACTTCAAAATAACAAAAATCAGCGATAAAAATGAATACGAAAGCAACTAAGAAATTCAGATAATGAGTATACGATCAATGTGAGGAAAACAGAGGGAGAAGTAGAGAAGTATAACTTCTACATACAGGAAAAACACCGAGATGGATGCTCACCTAATACCACTGTCAAATAATGATTACAGCTGCTCTGTTACATTTCGAGGGATGAATTGATCGAAATCAGAGGTGAAACACGCATGTTAGCAGAAATTATTGTCCTCGGTAGCACATAATCACAACAATAACAAGCTCGACTTTCGAGTTGGACCAACATAGGACAGGCAGAAAATAAGATAGGTGCATACTGGCGCGAAGTGGTGTCTCAGTTTTGACGCGATCTCAGAAGTTCTGGGATACCTCAAAAGTTCGAACATCGGCTCAACTTTGAACAATCAAGCCGGGGGTGCGAAATATCAGAAATTTATCACTGCATTGTTGTCCAATATTTAAGTACTAAATCGGCAGGCAGTCGGAGCAAACGTGGATTTGAACTGATCCGGGGGGATCGGTTTAGTGGAAAATTCGAGGCATACGTATCATGATTCATTCTAAGTAGATTCCAGCATGAATGAATGAATTGACGCACATTTGGGACCAGAGCTTTTAATTGTCAGTTGCCAGGAGCAATGAAGAAGGAATCATGAATTGGGTAGTGAGGACGACTCATGATAAGAAAGTTTTGTAAAGTAACCTTCCACAGTTGGGCAGAGAGAAAAAAAGATGTAGCAAGGCCAGGTAATGCGTTAGGCCGATGGAAAACCTAAAATGAGTAGAATAGAAAACCACAATTAAGTGATAAATGCCATTAGTCAACTCAACTTGTGGCTCGTGGCTCTATAAAACAAAAAGCCCAAGAGAAACAAAAAAAAAAGTAGCCTCAATTCAGATATCGTCTGCGAGGCCGGAGTGGTTTGAAAATCGGAGCAAGAATTCAGCGTGAGTGATAAACAAACGGCGATCGGTCCGAGGGAAAAAGAAGAAAAAAATAAAACTGAAAGCAGAGTGGGAAAAAATTAACAAAAGGGATGCTGAAGTAAAAACAGGGGATGGGGAGCGCCGGCTGGAAGGGATGAAGAAATGACGAAAAACAGTAACACGTGAAAAGAATTATCAAAAGAAACGCTGGCGGGGAGGGACTGCCACGACAACGTGAGGGATGCAATTAAATTTAGTTTTCAGTATTTACGGAGAAAATTCGGTAACGCAACACATGGGCAAGCTGTTGATAAACACATGCACCGCAATCGTCTTAGCCGGTTTTGTTTATCAGTCGTCTTGAGCTTCCAAAGTAGTCGCAGAGAGTAAACGCAGTCATTTCAGCGGCGATCACATATTTGAGGAAAAGAAAACAAAAGCAGCATCAGTTCTTTTACATCTGTTCATTAGTTTTCTTTTTGGACAGATCGATGAGAGGAAGAGCCTAATAATGAAATGTGAAATGGGATCCAAAATAAAGTCAAGTGAGGCAATACTTACGTAGTTAAGAAGAAGGAAACGACAATTTGAACACTTGTACAAAGCAAAGTAGACGATAAGCTATTTTGTTGTGAACCTACTTCTTCCTCTCGAATCTTTCTTTAGACTTTACAATTTTCATCATCATCCTTCTCCTTACTCCCCCTTTGTATTCCTTCTTCTCTACTCGAGCAATGTGCTGCCGCTCTGGCTGAAAAATACGTTTACCCCCTCCAGTTTACCGGTTGGTTCGGTCCCTGCGCTCTGGCTCAGGCTGAGCGCCGCGGGAGCCGCAGCCGGCCAATCGATAAACCAGAATGTAGCAACTTGTAAACCTGCCTGGTTCAAGTCAAGATGGCCGACCAGCCAACGTAACAGCCAGCCAAAACCGGGCCGGCCGGCATTCACACCGGCTATCGGCTTTCGCATTTCCGTCTCTTTGACCATTTTGACTCTATCGATCTTCTTGAGCCAGACGCGCCGCGACGCGGGCGACCGGCGCTTATCAGCAGTCGGCACCCGGCGCGGCGCTTAGTCTCCTCCTTATCTATTTGTTATCTCGCAACATTGATTTCGGATTGACCCATCCCGAGGTCAGCCCGTGGCGCGACGCCCCGTGCAACGTTGCCGAATTACTACAAATTAACTTCATTCAAAGTCATCGACTCTCTCTGTCTACTCATGTTTACGACCTACAATGTAGAACTATGAGGTGTCCTGCTTGTACCTACATAACATTTGTAAGAGGCTCCCTCCAAATTCTACGAAGGTCGCCGCTTTCAGTCCTTATGAAATCAACACAGGTACCATCGCCAGTGATTTATGAAAACACGCACCTAGGTCGATTTTCTGCATCAGGCAGCATTTCCGCACCGACCTCTTTTCAGAATAATTTTATCAACATTTTTTGGAAAATTTTTTCTTGTTAAGGTAGTCATTTGAAGAGAGTTAGAGAAGGCGATCGCTCCCCTTCTATTCCTGAGTGTATTTCCACTGGGTATGATCAATTTTGATCAAAGTCAGGAAACTTTTTGAGGTTTTTTTCCAATTTGTAGTTTCTTAACTTAGGCTCGAATTCCCTCTCCCTTTCAGATTTGCCTGAAACGGCGTCCTGTTTATCTGAAAAAGATTAATTAAAATCTTAATAAAATTTATTTCCAAAAAATAAAATGATTGATCATACCTGGAAAAGATAAAAATTAAACACATCCGCACGCCGCGAACCAATACAGGGTGATCCAAAAGCCCCTTCCACTCCCTCTAACTTTTTACCTAATTGAGATAAAGATTTGAAACTTGGGGGATATTCCTAGGTCAAAGGGAGCTACTTTTTGGCCCCCTAAAATTTTCAGGGAGCCCCCAACTTTTAATTCTCAAATGGGAAGACCCTCTTTGTGATAACTTGTTCGAAAGAGCATAAAAAAAGAAAACTTTTCGCGCAAACCCGAAGTCAATATCTCAAACCATTTCTAAATGGCGGCCAGTTAAGTTCAAAATGGCCGAAAATTCGCACCGGTTATTTGTCGATGGATTTGCGCAAAAATCGGTATGTAGGGGTATTTTGACACGAGATAAACGAATTTGACGTTAGATTTTCAAAAAAAACCAAAATTTCCAAAATGGCCTTCGGTTAAAGTTTAAAATGGCCGAAAATGTTCACCTCGGTTTTTTCCTGATGGATTTGCCTAAAACTTGGAATTTAAGATTATTTTGGCACAAGATAAACAAATTTGAACTTAGATTTAAAAAAAAAATTAATTTTTGGTCATTAGGCGGTCATTTTGGAAATTTCGGTTTTTTTGAAAGTCTAACGTCAAATTCGTTTTTCTCGTGTCAAAATACCCCTACATACCGATTTTCGAGCAAATCCATCGACAAATAACCGGTGTGAATTTTCGGCCATTTTGAACTTTAACCGGCCGCCATTTTGAAACGATTTGAGATATTGACTTCGGATTTGAGCGAAAAGTTTTCTTTTTTTATGCTCTTTCGAACGAGCTATCACAAAGGGGGTCTTCTCATTTGAAAATTAAAAGTTGGGGGCCGTTGCCCCCCCCCCAAGGGGGGCCCCCTGAAAATTTTAGGGGGCCAAAAAGTAGCTCCCTTTGACCTAGGAATATCCCCCAAGTTTCAAATCTTTATCTCAATTAGGTAAAAAGTTAGAGGGGGTGGAAGGGACTTTTGGATCACCCTGTATATGTGGACTAGTAAGTAGGTAATTTCACTATCCAAATGCAGTGATTACGAAAAGCCTTTCAAATAGTACAAGAACATTAGAAGGAAATTTAGGAAAAGGGGGGAAAATTGCCCGCGGCGATTTTCTTGTTTTTTGTGACCATTGAAGTGTAGAGAGACTGTTAAGAAATCCACCCCGGGGGGGGGGGGGGGGGGGCATTTCTCGCTCCCTTAAAGGTGCAAAATCGATCTTTAGAGATATCTCAAGAAATATTCATCCATAAGTATTTCATTTGGTCTTAAATGAAAGCCTTTGATCTTTTTCTAAGTAAACATGTCTATTTTTTCAGGTGCGACTACCCTTTGCCCCCAAAAATGGCGGCAGACAGCATCTCAAGAAGGGTGTGTACATCGTTTTAAGTGGCATCTCGAAAACTACGAACTCAAAAGTTTCTCACTTGGTCCGTAATTAAAGCTCTTGAAATCGTGTTGGAGCAAGGAAGACATTTTTTTTCAGCTATGACCACCCCCCTCCCCCCAAAGTGGGCGAGTAACTCATTTATCGCAATGTCTTAAAAACTACGGATCCTAAAGTCTCTCATTTGCGTTAATAATTGAAAGCTTTCAAAATTCTGGCCGTTTAAATACCCACTGCTAATTGCAGAACACCCTCTCCCCTTCAAACAGTGGCAAAATATTTTTGAGGTGGAGAAATGGTCTTTGTCCTGAGTAAGATACAGTCGAATTTGACTATTTCTGTCCCCTTAAGATAATTTGTTGACAATTTTTTTTTTTTTTTGGGGGGGGGGTTGAGGCAAATCCAGCAATTTGACAACACTGGGTTAAACCTGTGTTGAATAATCGATTTTTACCGAAA